CAGGAATGATCAAAGCTGACAGACCTCATGAACTTCCTTTTTTTTTCTCTTCGCTGTTTTTTTCTTCTCCCTTCTTGTTCACAATGGTATGTTTCACTATTTATAATATCAATTATACCAACAGTCGATAATACTTTATGACTGATCTTACCAGGAATTACTGTCTCATCATTTATGGCATTCCTACTAGAAAATTAATTATACTTTATACATTATTTGTATAAAATATAAAATGTATTAGTGAAGAAAAAAGTATCGCAATAACTGAAATCGACCATAAAGAAGAAAAAAAAAAGTAGTCGAGCCTAGAGTCCCTGTATGTATTTGACACTTTTGCTGTAATAAGAGTACGGACACTATGACAAGCAGTGACAGAAGGCATAACCCTAAAAAATTTGAAATGACATGAACAATTTGGCGGGCACTGACAGTTCATGAACGTACATGACATTAAATTATTTGAAAATTCAGGTTTTCAAAAATTAAAATGTCTAATTGTGTAGTGGAGAATTGCAAAAATGGAAGCGAGTCCTTTCATTTATTCCATTTCCCCCATTCTAACCAAGTACTTATACCCTTTGTTGAGTATATCGAGAAATACTTTCAACAAATTGATTTACAAACTATGACCCCTTTTCGCCAGTGAGATGAGACGCCACTTCTTTATGAAAATAAAGACAGAGAAAGATATATGGATGTACCCTTCACCGCGGCAGTAGAGGATAGAAGATCCGAAGTGCATGGAAAAGCATATCCATGTCTTTATTCAAAAGTCATTTTGAGAATTTGGGGTTATGCCTTCCGTCACTGCTTGTCATAGTGTCCGTACTCTTATTACAACAAAACTGACAAATATATACAGGGAATTATACATACAGGGACTCTAGTCGAGCCGAAGCTTTGATATTGCTTGTAGACGATGTTGTAAACCTTTGGAATATGTATGTAGTGTCACCAGTATCTGTACTTTGTATCAGATCTTCAGTAATTTCCAACCGACCACTGATGTATGTAGATGATGCCATCTGTTTGTTTAAACCATCAAAAAGCATAGAGTGATAAATTATCCTTTCCGTCCTAATGAATCAAGAATCTTAACCTATAACATCCTAGACACATCAAGAAAATCCTACAATCATAACGAAAAATACTAGCCAGAATTCCAGTGGTTTGACGAAATTAAATGGGCACTCAATATAAGAAGTACATGTTCATAACTTCCTCTTCAATACTTTTTCCTAGGGTACCTTGATGTAAATTGACGTATTTGTCATCTTTACAGGGTACGGACAGACCCTTGTCTCCTCTCACTCTAAAGTGTTTGTGAAACAGTTATATATAGTTCCATCTTTATCCATTTCTGGGGATAACCACTAGATTTCTGCCATTTGTTGTTTTTCACGTTATATTGAGGACATTGGCATATCATACGTAATTTCACATGTAATTTCTCATTCAACTCTACATATTATATCCAAATGATGATAATTTTCGATTTTTTGATTTTTCAACTCCAGCATAATCTTTATGAGGCAGTGAGCACATTTTTTCTGAAAGTTTAATACGTTTTACCAAATGGGACTGTTCTTAGGCAGTACCTATCAATAAATGAATTTTGATTTCAGTTTTTTCATGTGTGCTGTATATATTCATGTTGGGAATCATTTTTGCAGTTTTTCCCGAACACTCAATATTTCCTGAATGTAGGTATCATTTTTTTAAATAGTAGGACATATGCCTCTTTTTTCAATCCTCCGTTTTAATCAAACCTGTTTCTACTAAAATGCATTCAAAAACTTGTGGAGTGGATAATTATAGACACAATGAGAAAGTATATTAATTATGTGATTTCGTATTAGTTTTACCTAGAATATTTTGCTGATGTATTTACCAATTTACCAACTAACGCAGCACATTTTATCATCCTTCCAAAACAGAATTGAATAATGTCAAGTATGAAATTAAAATTTTGTAAGATCTCTTTTAACGCCTATGAATGTGACGTGACAGCAATGTCATGTCAGGGACGCCAAAACACGAAACCAAAGCCACTAGATGATTAAAAGAGAAAGGAGCTATGATCTGTCTGTACCCTGTTAAATGACCAATACGTCAGTTTGCATCAAGGGACCCTACTTTCTTCCAATCAAGAGGTTCAAACTTGAACGATGGAAACTTGTTATTTTTATTGTCATTCAATCGCAGATTCCTGATTAGGTTTTCCCCATTCAGAATTTGTCTCCACGTCCTGTAAGATGAATATCAATTTTTCATCCATCCAAAAACGCTTATATTAGCTTGGTAGGTATGTCCCATTTCCTATTATCCTAATCATGATCTTCAGCATTAGCGATTTTATGTCTCAAATAAAATGGTGAATGATGTTCCTTCACCAAAATTTCAAAAATGTTCCTTCACCAAATATTCAAATGTTCAGGGGTAATATATTTGATGGAGTCTAAGAGGAGAGTTTCAACCAAATCGACATGCAGGCCTGCACTAGTTGTTGCTATTTGGGCTTATGAATGATTCAATTGAAAAACTGATTAAATCATCGTAAAGAAGAAGGTTGGGACTAGGGCCTGGTTATCATACGGAGTCGAAACTCATTTATTTATAGAAGATACAGATTTTTGAAAAACGTAAACATTGACATTTTTTTGTCTCAAATTGAAATATTTTCGATCTCAGTACAATGGTTGTAAATTCGGCGAGGTGTCACTGAAATATCAGCTCTTGAAATGTTTCCATTCGGACAGGAAGCAACAAAAACGATTATTCTGTCAACAAAATATCCATTCATCCCAGCTGATCTCGGTAAACTCCATTTCTTGAAAGAATATAATGCAGGAAACTAGGATGTGGTAGTTCAGGCACTACCTGATAGATGGCAGTGTTCGAAATGGCAGACAGCGGCAGAGATGAATGGTGCATTGTATTGCAAGCAGATGGCGCTTAGGAGAGATGATGAATACAAACCCGTTTACACCGTTGCCAATGTATGCAATGTTGCATGTAACCCAGAAGTTGTGAGTTCGACTCTCACACGGGGCCGTGGAGTTTTTTCATTTTCCATTGTCACTCGAAGTTAGGGCTTTCATCATCTTCATTATTATATTATGTATCTTTTCGATCGAGTAACCGACAAAAATTATCACTCACTTCTATTTGAGATTTCTGGCAAAATGGTCGATACTATTGTTGTACGAACCAAGTAGTATTTATTGGGACAATTTCACGACCTGATGAAACTGTCATCTCCATGTCATACCAGCTGACAAGATGGCGTTCTACTCAGAATCGTGGTTGCCCTGACAATAGGAAGAAACAATGTAGAGAGACTAGACTAGAGGCGCACCATTTTGATTGGTTCTTATATTGCAGGAGATAGCAGTTTCATATTCGCGATAGAAAATAAGCATAAGCCACATATCGGAGTTCTTGAAAGCTGTCAAAGCAGCCTGTTCACTTTGTTTTCATTGGTTCACATTTGTTTTTTGCTTGTGCTTATTAGTCACATCATCAAAACAAACTGCTCAGAAGTGTTCAAGTTGTTATCGTCAGGTAGGGCGACCTGTTATTTTTCATCTCGAATACGTCATGGAATTATCATGTATCATGATATACAAATCCAAATCCCTTTGTTTTTGAGAAGCAAATTATGTTGCTTAGTTACCACACGAGATAGCAGAGTCTGGTTTCAAAATTTTTGAGATATATTATCTTTTTTATGTTTGTTGAAAAATTGGTAAATTGGGAGGTGAATTGTGATGATCACAAAACTCTCCCATTTTTTCCAATGCAGACAGCACTAAATTGAAGAAAAATTGTTTGCCAGAGCCCAGGGGCGAACAACTCTCTAAATATGGTGTACACCCCAATTTTAAATATTTAAATACTTTGAATTATTTTAAATATCTAATTATTAATTTTTCATTCTCTTCAGTACATTTCCATTATCTTAATTACAATTTGAATACTTTAAATACTCCAGATACTTTTTGAACCCTTTTGAATTATTATAAATCCTTCATAATTATTCTGACAATATCAAAAATCCACATTGAAATCTTTTGCATTTGGTCAGGTTGTTGACTTCCAGACGGCCCCCAAAATTTTCCAAGTTTGACATTTTAGAGGATTACCCTCCTTTCAGTCATCAAAGGAATCCAGAAGATATTGTATAAGGGTTGATACCACCTTCATCCCCTGACATTTTTTTCAGAACATTCTTAGGGGTGATAATAGGGTTCTCAAATTTTCTGAGCAAGATGGCTGATTAATTATCTTGATTTTGTCACCCTTGTGAAAATTTCATATTCTGCATAATTCTAAGGAAAAAAATGTATTCTCAAATTATGCTAACAGATATTCCTAGTAAAAGTTTAATCATTATAATGAAATATTTGACTGTGAAAACAAAGGCAGAACTTTTTTTTATTTATTGTTTAATATGATGCCCACCATCATCAATACAAATGTCAATTCCTTTGTTTCAGCTGTCAAATAATTTTATATTACAATTTTATCAAACATTTACTATAAATATCTGTTAATATTATTTAGGAAAACAGGGATATCCTCTGAAATGCACTTTTATCAAATATCATTCAATTTGTTTCTCCCATTTTTGAAAAGCACACAAAAATATGTTTTTTATGTAGACTTGGAACTTTTCTCAGGGACAAATGGACCATTTTTTTATATAAATAAGTTGGGTCCAATGGACTTATTTGAACTGTATTACAGGTGGTAGCTCTGTGTCTCAGCAGTTGTGGGACTCCCTGTATGAAATAGAGTGGAAAAAAATTAATTAAAATGAATAAAAATCACAATTACAGGAGCACACCCGAGAGCACACCAATCTTTTGTTGAGTGCCTTGAGAAATACAATTTTTTTTTCTGAGTGGCTAAAATTGTCCACTATTTTCTTCTGAAAATAAACTTGCTGGGAATATCTAGACAAAACTGTCAAATAATCCATTTTAGCATATCTTTACCTGCTTTACAAGATTCACAAAACCAGGGTGTGGTAGGTGAAAGAGAATCTGTACTAGCCACACTGGTGGACTCTGAAATTCCATAGCAAGCTTCATGCACAGTGATGCCACAACCATCACATTCCACAATTTCATTCACCCCATCACTCTGATCGCCAAGACATCCACAACAAATCAGAAGTTGTGCATCTTTTTCATCAAACTGAAATAAATTGAGGTGAACTACAATATTCTGCTTGGGGTGCAGCAAGGGTCTATTAGAGGCCCCCTCTTATTCATCTCATTTATATAAACAAATGATGAAAATATGAGAGCATACCTTCATCTTAGATTGCATGGTAGCTTGTTGTATAATATCAGAGATGGAACCCATCCCATTTGTACTTGGTAAACTCAAATTGCGTAGTTCCTTCAAGTCATCAGACATCTCTGAGTCATCATCATTGCCATCACTAGAATCATCTGAAGAACACAAATATGAAAGGAAAACATCCCATTCAGGGCCGGGTCATAAACGTCCAAGTTGGAAACATATTTACCCTTATTGTCTTTGTGACTGTCCAAGGAATCATCATCATCATCACTTATTTCTGGATGATCTTCAATACGGAAATCACTATCATCGGAACTCTCTTCATCAAAGTCTAAGACACAGGCCTGTTCAACAGGTTTCACCTTCCTCTTTTTAGGATCCCTTTCAACTGTGACAAAACAAGTATAAAATAGATAAATTGCCAATGTACAACAGGAGCATTAGCAAATTCAAAATGAGAAAAATAAATCAATGTGTAGTTCAAATAGTGTAACTTACTAGAACTCATTTTCGAGCTGTTTACTGTTTCAAATATAAACAAATCTTTCAAATTTGAATTATAGGCTTTGAAAAACTGATAAACTCAAAACACTCATAACCTTATTTTTTGACATTTTTTGATATTTTTCCATCATGTTGACAATTGTCATTTTGAAATTATTGACAGCTGACGTTGCTGTTAGTGCAGGGTTGTCAGCTCTTTATTCGATCATCGAGTATCCGAGCCTGCCGATGGCATTCGCTGATAATACGGATAACGGATTATTCATAATACATGCATGAACCTTCGTTATTATAATGATGGAAGTAAGATATGGTGCGCGCATTCGGCCATTATTACGTACTGTCTGTATTGAAAATTTCAGAAAAATCACTCGACCGCCTACTATGATTTCTCTACGTCACAACGAGCGAGACGTTAATTCTACATTTCCCCGCTAGATGGTGATGCTTTTATTGCTACTGAGACGAGTGGAAATAAAATGGCAAATGGCATTTTAGGTACGCGGAACATATGTAACATGTATGTAACAGTGAGATTATTCAACTCTCAATTCGAAAAATCTGCGACAATTCCAAAACTGACAGATTTTATAATTGTGCAATGTCGCCATCTATTGGAAGATCGACGGAACCATTGCTCACGCTGTTCTCGAGAGGTCAAAAGCGCATCAGTAATTAAACCATATCTTACTTCCATCATTGTTATTATATAAAAAACGAGAATATGAAATATTAACCAATGGTCATAATCTCTGGTAGGAAGTAGTAGGTAGTTTGCTCAAAGTGAAGTGGAATATTTCGAGAGGAAGAAGGAAAGCTCAAAGTCATCTTCTTTATTAATGATGTAAATCAATCAAAGGGACATGTTTCGAACTTTTAAAAGTCCATCTTCAGCCGTTTTAAGAAAGTTACTACATGCAAAAGCCATGTGAAAATATACATGTTATAAAAAACCAAAAATTTACTTACATTATATGTTTTCAAATTGAATGCCGATGTATATCATCATAATATCGTGATTCTTAATAAATAGGGGTTGAGAGAAAACGGGTTTTCATAAAAAATTAAGGGCCTTGTGCCTTAAGAACGCGCACTCGTCAAACCAAAAGTCAAGTCCCAGAAGGGAAACTTGATATCAAAGGTGCTCGGAAAACCCATATTAGGTTGCAAGACAGGAAAAACCAAAGGGTACCGTACCCTTGAGAGAGCGCACTATAATTCAAAAATCAATCAGAATTGATGGGGCCAAAAGCCAGAAAACGTGTTAAATCCAACTTGAGGTTAGAAACGCGCGGAATTAAATTAATAAACATTGACATAAGTCAACATCAGAAACTCTAGTGGAGTTGACTTTGAGCTTTCCTTCTTCCTTTTGAATGGTCATAATATCATCATCTTCTTATGACCATTTCACTCATATCTGAACAATCACAAGCCAGAGACAACGTGTGCTTATCGCAAAAACATTAACTGTCTTTCAATGCTGATTGGTCTGACAGCGTTCATGTTCCCAACGATGTAACAATGAAGGAAGTGAGATATGGTGCGCGTATTCGGCCATTATTACGTATTGAAAATTTCAGAAAAATTACTCGACCGCCTACAATGATTTCTCTACGTCACAACGAGCGAGTCGTTGATTCTTCATTTTCCCGCTAGATGGTGATGCTGCTATTGCTGCTGTGACGAGTGGAAATAAAATGGCAAATGGCATTTTGGGTACGCGGAACATATGTAATGGTGGAATTATTTGATTGTGATTTCGAAAAATCTACGACAATTTCAAAACTGATAGATGTCATAATCGTGCAATGTCGCCATCTAATAGAAGATCAACGGAACCATTGCTCTCGCAGTTCTTGAGAGGTCGAGTAAAATTTCTGAAACGAAAGCTCATCAGTAATTACACCATATCTTACTTCCATCATTACCATGGGTAGCTAAGTAAAGTCTGTCAATTTGGGATAAAATAATTATGACTGTACTTGTTGAAATGAATCAACTCATTTATAATAAATGTTATCTCGAATATTCAGAACATCGTGATATTACTGATGATCAGATTAATCCATGATAAATTATTATCATTGAAAAATGAAATCAGATGAGATATGGTGGCTCTTGGCAACCCTGCCAAATAGAACTGTCACTAAGTAGTCTATGACAGATGACAGTATCTCAGTGTCATTTCTGTCAGTATCACAATCAACGATCACGTGATTTTTGATTTATCTTCGATTTGAAGGTTGAAGCCTTTGATTTCGGTATTTTAAAAGGTGTTGTGTAGTTGTGGATTCTCCTGTGGTTTTGCTTTCATTTGGGATATTTCGATTTGGTAAGTAAATACTATTAATTTATCTTCTGTTCCACATATTGATTCACCGAAAGTACTCCGAAAAGAGCCAAGATAGAACAGAATCACAACTTGATCAATGTACAAACATTGACGCCATTTTCCTGTCTGCTAAACTTTGGGTGGATTTATCATTATCATCTAGTTCTATGTTGAATTGTATTCAAACAATGGCCATGATTTTTCTCCATTTACCTTATGATGTTGCGAAATGTTCAAGGGAACTAGTTATTTGTTGAGTTGTGAAATGCTATTCTAATATTTTTTGTTTTGCGGGGTACCTAATCCTAATTGATATACCTACCAATTATCTCCTTATTTACAAAGATGTCACGACGACGTGTGAATCTTGAATTTATTGTAAAAGGTTTATTCAAGTTGCATCATTCCATTCATTTCGTGATTCCTGATATGCAAAAATAGTTATTTTTGAAATTCATGACATTTGAAGAAATGCTGATACTGGTTAGATTTACGTCTGACGTAAATACATTTCTAGGAGGTTTATGCTTAGGGTTGATGCTGGGTTTATTAAATCTACTAAACTAAGAATTAAACTAACAAATATGAACTTCAAAAGTTGAATACAAGGAAACAACTATGAGGGTTTTTATACATTTACATCTGTCATTTAAATTAAGAATTAAGAATCACAAAGTTGGCCAACTTTCAACTTAACAACTGAATTAGGAAATTCTGGGGACAGAACATGAAGATAGGATTTGTAATTGTTCAAGTGGAGTTTGGTGATAAATTGATGATGGGGTTATGGCATGAAAAACCCAAAACGCCTCTAAAACAACTAAACTACAGTACTCGCCACAGTATAGACCCTTACGTTACGGAAGGGTATTGATATGAAATGAAACTTAAAGAAGTTTTATTGAATTGAGACTATTAATTGAATCCGAGATTGCGATCTCTTTTTGAAAAAAGTAATTTTCATAACCAACCTCGTTACCAACCTAGAAGCGCCTTTATCAGTATATATAGGCCACGTTTATACCGTATGGATAGTTGGCATGCTTACCAAAAAGATCTACTAAATTCAGACCATATGCCTTAGTTAACGCATGTTCACACTAGAGTCACTGGATGGTATTCGTTTGATAAGAGTTCGGACACAGCTGAACTTTTGTCCTTTTCTATTTTCTATAATACAATGGTTTAAGTGAATAAAAGAATAAGACATATATTCTGCTCTTTGTCTTTTCAATTTCCCTAGAAGCGCCTGATTGTCAAATACGATTTTAGAGGTTATATTTTCTGTCAAATCAATCATAGCCGTAGATGGACAATGGATATAGGGTACAAACACCCACTTAAATTCATAGTGATACACTTCTAGCTGAACAACTGTTATATAAATGAGAAGAATGCATGTACCAACGTTTTAATATTAGAAAATATACACATATGGATAAACTCATAGCTATAAATCCTTATTGTATGTCAAACTGTACTCCAGTGATAAGTATAAAACATGAAGTTATTAATATTTAATTAAAGGTAGGTATTCTCAATATACAGGAAGTAACATAAATACGTTCAAGTGAAGTATTCCTGAGACAATTTTAAGAAATAAAGTGTATATAAGCTTGTGTCCGGAAATGTTTCATTTCGGAGATAGAGGGTGATGAAACACAGAGAACAAATCATTTTTTGATAAACATTCCCTTGGAAAAAAGTAGTTAATTTTGACGAGACCTACCAAATACATTTTTCTGTAAAGTTCTCAGCAACTTCACTTAGCGCCTTAGAAGGTAAGCATCTAAGTAACATGGATCGATATACCAAATACATTTTTCTGAAAAGTTCTCAGCAACTTTAGTTAGCGCCTTAGGAGCTAAGCATCTAAGTAAAACATGGATCGATATAGAATAATTCACTTTTCACTGTTGAATTTTGAATTTGATCGGCACCAAAAACGCCATTCAATAATATATCACGTTGTAGTTTCCTTGCTTTTCTTAGTTTTGTTTTCAAATTTCCAATTTCATTATGTAATTTTACGGTCATGTCCTCTTTCCATGATTATTTTGTTCTGTATTTCGTGTGATGATAATAATGGAATTTTGAAATCGTCTGCTTTGTAAATTGATGGAATGGCAGATTCTCTCAAACAGATTTTGCAATCTTCTGTTCCAAACTGGACCTGAAATATAGTTTCATTCTGTGATCAGATGCTGTTATAAGAAGCTAATTTTAATGAGTACCTCACAAATTTCGCTCGTCTTGAAATTGATTTTCCACCCAGGCCGTTTCATATCTTCCTTCCATAAGCGAATGGTTGATATTTGTTTTGGAAAATTGAATAAATGATATCCATTTTTATCAGATTTGGCACACGTTATTACACAGCAAGTGATTTCCATAGCTGCTTTTTTCTCGAAAGTATAATTATTACATTTCATTTCAAATCTGACGTTCATAAAATTTACTGTCAAACAAATTTGAATAAAAAGCGCGGGACGACTATGGTGCTATTGTCACAATGCAAGGTGTGTAACTTAATGAATCTAAACATTCAAAAACCCTAACAGTTGTCATTTCTGTGTCCGAACTCTTATCAAACTAATAGCATCCAGTGACTCTAGTTCACACCATGTATCTTCAGTTGACTAACGTTACCAACTTTGTTTTGATTTGATTATTTTTTTGAGGTTAGGTTGTGGAACTCCACTTGAATTCGTGAATAGGTCGCGTGCAAGAACTGTCAGATGACCGACCCTGGAGGCAAAACATATTTGTTTACAAGTGATCGAAATAGTTTTCCACAATTATT